CCCCCCAGGGAAAAGGGCGGCATACAAATAAACTTCTGAATCTGAATCTGAATCTGAATAGTAGCAATAGCACTTAGACTGCATATACTGCTTTGCAGTGCTTTACAATCCTCTCTAGGTCAGCCTATTGTCCCCAACATTTTAGGTTCCTCACCTTATCCACCTCGGAAGGATGGAAGGCTGAGTCAACCTTCAGCCTGGTGAGATTCCAACTGCCAAATTGCAGGCAGGCAGCAGGCAGCAGAAGTAGCCTGCAGCATTGCACCCTAACCACTGCGCCATCACGGCTCTCAATGCTAATGATGAAGCGTTGCTCTCCCAATGACAAAAGCTAAGCGATTCTAGTAAGAATCCCAGCAAAAGGGTCCAGTGTCCACAGTCCACATTGGATTAGGCAAAGGTCCACTTGAAGGAATGTCTCTTTAAAGAGACAAATGGGAAAAGCTGGCCTCTCAAGCACATTCTCTAAGGCTTTACAGGAAAAAAAAAATTGTATAAGTCTCTTCCTTGTCATCTCTCAGTTCTTGCAGGAGCAAAAAAGTCCTGCTAGGCTTCTCACAATACTTTTGACTTAAGCCTTGGGGAATCTCATGCAGTTGAGCTCTTTGTCTAGAGTATTAAATCATTAGACTTATTGCATTAATAACCTCCTGCCACACTGTTAAGTGTCAGCACTCCAAATTATAGCTTCTGTGGACAAGATAATCTATTGTTGTAGATGACTAACAACTTCTCACTTTGCTGGGAAGGAACAAGGTGTGACTCATGGGGCTTCAACAGGCGTACAGAGATTGTATGCAATGCTCCAGCACCACGGATGTAAATTTTAGCACCCATGTTGGTTTAACAAGCTTCAGGATAAATCCAGCACAGATAGGTGGTTTCCATGGTTGTCAACGTCAGATTAGACCAACCTTCTCCAACTGCTTGCCTTTCAACTGATGAACTCCCTCACCTCCAGCCAAAAGTGAGCTGTTGGGAATAACCGGGAAAGACTAAATGTTTGTGTTACTTGGCAGAAGGCCCGTGACGCATCTAGAAAAAGCATAAAGCTGCAGTGATATCACAGTGCCAAT